GAATTTAACAGAATTATAAACGTTTATAATTCTGTTAAATTCAGATTAGAATACAATAATTATTACATAAACACAATAATAAATAATAATAATTAAATAAACACAATAATTATTAAATAAACAAAAAACAAACTAATTATAGTCTTAATTTGCAGTTTCTCTAAATAGGGAGACAATGAGAGAGAAATACAAAATCACATTAACTAAATTATTCAAAAAATCCGTCTTACAGCTACAATTGGCCATATTTTCTTATTTCAAATACGTCCGTTTTTATAATAATTGATCCAATTCCAAACTCTTCTGTCTCCAATTTTTTCAAGGCTCTCTCTAAGGCAGATGCTCATCCTGCACGCTTGGTGCTATCGCGCGCATCGCGGACGCCAGTTCATGGAGATACTCTATATTGAAGCCGCTGATACCGTGCGAGACAATTATAGTGCCTCGCGATGGCGAAATTTGGATTATCTTCTTCGCCTATGGCCACGTTCAGCAGACGATCAGTGAGCGTCCAGTGATTCTTGCAATTCCCTCAGATCTACATATCACTGCGTGGAGGAAACGCGCTACATAATTAACAATAAATATTATATTACTATACTAGCCAGGCTAATTGATAATAATTACTTATTTTGCTTTTAAATTTGTATGATAATACAAATTTATTTTAATTATATACAATATTTTAAAGCCACAAGGCAAATCGCACAAGTATTTAATTATTAATCAATTTTTAAATCATATAAGATGAGAAAAAATTAAAACTTTTGTTAAAAAGTTAAGTTGTTAGTCTTCCTACTTTGCATAAAATCCGTGTATTTACTAGAAAACGGCGTGACAAAAATAAAACGTGAAAGAATCTTTTCAATTTGTATAATATAAAAAATTAATTTACTTACATATTACATTAGATCTAATTGTAGCGCTGGGGCAGAGGGATACCAGAATCCATAAAGGCGATCCCATTCAATATAAACGTTCAGATTCGATCGAGACGTGCTAGGTCGCACGTTAATCAGCGCCTTCTCAAAGTCACGAGTCGTTATATTTCTCATTTCTTCCATTGTATCTTCTAATGGATTGGAAGAGATTAGAGTCCGGACCGGCCCCATGCTTGCCTCCGTGCAGAGATCCGTCATGTCGGCGCCGGAATATCCGACCGTCTTCCCCGCGATCGTCGCGATATCCTCCTCGTTAAGATCGTGATCCACCGATTTTAATAAATTAGTTATTATCTGCTTGCGCGCCTTAAGATCCGGTAGAGGAACGTACAATCTCTTGACGAAACGCCTCCTCGCCGCCTCGTCCAGATCTTGTGGCCGGCTGGTCGTGCCGAAGATCAGAATGCGATCGCTCTCGGACGTCGATACGCCGTCCATCTGCACCAGGAACTCCGTTTTCAGCCGCCTGGAGGATTCGTGCTCCGTCTTCGAGCGCTGCGTCAGCAGCGAGTCGATCTCGTCGATGAAGATGACGGACGGCTAAAGACGGAGTTCCTGGTGCAGCTGGACAGACCCTGGCGAACAGCGCGTGCACCATCTTCTCGTTGTTGTCCATCCACTTGGAGCACCTCAGGGAGCTCGCTGAGATGAAGAAGAACGTGGACTGGATCTGCGAAGCTATGTACTTGCCGATGAAGGTCTTTCCCGTGCCGGGTAGGCCAAACAGCAAGATCCCCTTGGGTGGACGGTAGAGACTCTTGAAGATGTTCGGCCACAACATGGGGAGCAGCATCACTTCCTTGATGACGTTCTTGATGCTCTCGAGCCCGACGACGTCGTCCCACGTTACCGTTTCACCCGAATGCACAATCTCGTTTTTGATCAGCTTGATCATGTCCGGGTCGATGTTCTTCAATCTCTTGGCGTTCTCCACTTCCTTGCTCGCTTTTTCTTGCAACGTGTTGTAACTTTGCGCCGACTCGTCCTTATGGCGTTCGGACCGCGGATAGACGAATTGAGAATTCGCCGCTGTATGACCGCCCAAAGTCCTTTTCGGCGTCGAAGTGTCCGCTTCCGGATGTAGCTCCATGAAGCAGCTGGTATTTCAATTTGACTTTGCCGGTTGATTCTGGGAACGTTTCCGCTCGCTCTATCCGAGCACATAGCTATCGTAGTTCGATCCTGATTGTACACTATGCTCGATGACGAGCTACTTTGATTTACCGCCTTCAAATCAATGTCCGACTGTGATCTCGCATTCTTCTCACGGCTCTGCATCGCGCGGACTCTGGCGTGCGTCTTGATGATACTTACCTCAATTTCACCTCGCTATTCTGCCTCGCCCCTTTATTCACCTGGAACGATGTGGCGTCCTTGTCGATGCAATCCTCCGGGCAATCCGCGCTCGATTTTCTGTCTCGCCTCGACCTGTGACTTGCCTTGATTCTGCCGCGATACACCTCGCCGATCTTGTCTGATTTACCAGCATCGTCGGATATTGAATTCGCCGGCTTAGCCCTAGCTGTCTCCGATCGGCGGCATTTCGTTTTCCTCGTCGGTCACCCAAGCGTCGCTATCCGAGTCATCGAGTGTCGAGTGTGACGTCTCATCGTCGCCAAGAAGAGCACGGACCTGGGAAAGGCACAATAAATTAGTTTCCTCGAGCGACACGTTCGATTCGTATGGCGAATTGAACGTGCCGACCGAGACGTCGGAATCTTTATTACTCCTTTATTTTAATTCATTAATAATCACATTAAATCATAATTAGAAATATATATGCATTGTTCCTCGGCGTCAATGTTAAATAAGAAGTTCCCTGTACGAAAAGCGATATCGAGGAAGCTAACAAAATTAAAAGTCATGTAATAATACAACTTGTTTGTCCCTTAAAAACAGATAAAAATAAATGGAAATAGCATGGTTTTAAAAACACGAGAAATATCTGCTATTGAGAGAACATTCTATTCTATTGGTCACCATTAGAAATTGCTAGATCTAATTGCGGATTCAACATTATTCAACATTGTCGTTGCAGGAAATAAAGGGCTATGATGTACTTGAGTGTAACTTACGTTTGTTATTTACTGTCGTCTCTCCGTCCCACGCAAACAGCCCTCCGTCGAGAGAGAACTCAGATGCGCCACTTCTCTTCGCTTCTTCCAGCGATATCTCTTATCCTCAGCTTTTATCTCCTTAAAATCCTTTGCACTCGACACTCGATTAACCCAATTCGGAAAGGCGGGAATGTCAGCGAGCGTTTCGACGTTCCGCGAGCGGTGCCCCAACGACGGATATTGGATGTCTGTACGGTCGCGTTCCGTTT